AGAGAGAGAGAGAGAGAGAAAGAGAGAGAGAGTAGATTCATACACTAATCATTAGAAAGTCAAATAGTGTTTAGTTAGAATGTTTAGAAATATTTTAAGACATTGCTGGTTGAAAAAGAAATTAGTTGAGGTCAAAAGCATTTGAAAAATTAAAAACAATTCCATTCATACGAAAATATTTTACTGCTTTACAAGTATGTAATCTTTCATTATTATATAAAAGGCCCTATTGAATCTAGATATCATCTTTCCACTTTTCGTCTGAATAACTGTTAACTCCTTTTCCAATGAGTGCCAACTTTGAACACAATTTGAAACCCGATTTCAATACAGTAGGCAACATGATAATTGTCATTGACTCTCCCAAATACCTTGGCCAAGTTGGAATCTCTGAACCTGCACAAAAGTGAGTAACATCAACGGCAGTCTTGCAAATCATACAATGAATGTACATAATAGATTTATGCTAGTACCGTTCCGCTGTTACCATCTAAAGTTTCTTTTTAAAATTCTGTCCGCTGCAGTAGTAATGTTGTGCTGACGAATTTGAACTTTAATGGTGGCATAAATAACACAATGCATTGGTTTACTGAGTGGAGGCCTCTATACGAAACTCACCGATGACTCGAAATACTTCACTGCAGTGACTGGATGAACCTTTTCTGTCAGTGGCTTGGTATGTCACCGTGTGCGTGCCTTCTCCAACCCAAGAGTTTGAGTAAGGTCCAACAGTCTGGGATGTACTGTAGGAACATCGAACATAACACATGTTTTTGACCAGAAAAAAACAGGCTTAGGCCTACTTTTTCAGGCATAAAAATAGTACACGTATACGTTTAACAATATTTAGTTCTTAAGAGACGGGGCCTCTGAGCTTAACGCCCATCTTCGAAAGGGCCGAGCCAAATGGGAAATGCGTGTAAAGTGCCTTTCACGGGGACACAACGTCGGGCTGACATTATTCGATCGTAACCAATACGTTTATATTGTTTTGCAAGTCTTATTCAACAGTAAGCCCCTCGGAACCTATGTCCATCTGCCCTTGGTGACTTAATTTCAGGCTGACGACATTTCAAGCATGCTGTGACACCAAGTCCAGTAGCAAAATCTGGATAAAGAGTTCAAATTTACCTGTAACAACAACAACATTTTTTTATCATTCATAGTAGGTCACATTAAAATCTGATTAAGTCTCATTTAACCTTGTCTCAACATAAATGTTGGAGACCCATTGATGGGAAAACACGTAGTCTTGAATTTTTATAATATTATTTTACAAGCTATAAGGTTAGTATCTAAAAGCTTTACGTGAAAAAACCCACCCCAAAAACCTCTATTCCTTTATTCAGACGTCTAGAGATAAATCTGTTTGGTGTTTCACTCTCTGTTGTAAAAACAGCAGGATATTAATTTTAAGAGACTCAAGCTCGGACGAGAGTTTTGTGTTTTAAGCCTAAATTGTTTCCCTTAGAGTGAAACCTGTCTTTACGTAAATAAACGAGGTTTCTACTTTTCTAATGACTACAAACAATAAGCATGTTAATATTATTTGAATGGACTTTCTTGTTTGTTTTGTCTGTCTTTGCTGAAGTTCAATGCCTGATGAGAGACTATGAAGAGGCCATTTTGAAGATGAAGGACTTTTTTTTAGAAAAGACACCTACATAAATGACGGAATTCCAGAAGGGAGCCTACATTTGCAGTAATATTTGTAATAATCAGTGAATGACAAAAGTCATCATTTCAGTCAAGCTAAGAACTTAGCATCAAATGGACTCGCATAGTCAGGGAGTTATTTAGCTCGCAGGGCAATGCGTATAGTTTTAAACTAGGCCAATGATAGAGAATGATGTCAATATGTTGTACATCATACGGATATCCTTCAGCACTGCCCGCGCTACACCACCTTTCGCACACAGACGTGGCAGAATGTGGCTCCCCTTGAGAGAAAGCTCTATGACAGTCTGTCACAGTTGAAGCGAACTGCACAGTTTGTGCGCGACATCGGACTGAATGTCTAGCTGCTGTCATCAAGAACAAGGAAGAAGAAGAAGTACATCATAAGGAAATAGACAAAATTCCCCATTTTTTACCACTAATCAAAGAATGTCTCACTTGGAGCTATGATGGTCTACAATGTGGACCACACTGATTCAAAATTGATCCCCTTGGGACATTCTTCACAGACTAAGTAGTTTAACAAGTTCTCGTGGTTTTCCACATGCGTAGTCTTATCGGAAATTAATAGCATAGATCTATTACCGGTAATGTAGGCCTACATATATTTCTGATCTTTCTGATAACTTTACTGAGTTAAAGGGGAGTTGAACTCTTACCCGTACCATACAAAACGTGATACATCAAAACGCCTTGTCCTTGAATATTTGAAGACTACGTCCGGAAAGAATTTAACAGAAAAGTAAAAAAAAACAGCTCTCAAGAAAGGGGTTGAAAAACATTTGAAACCGTATTGAGGACAAACCAATAAGTTGGTGAATTTGGTATGCTAGTGGGACGCTGGGCACTGTGCAACAGAGAGTAAAATCATGCTAAGGCAAGTGTACAAGATAAAAACTTGGGATTGTTTGAATAGAGTTCTTACCGAATTGTGCCGTCTTCTGGATCATGAGCTGTTGCAGGACTCCATGACACGAACTGGGGAAAATAGGCAATCCTAAGAAAGTAAATAAAGGTACTACATATATAATTAGATCTATGTCTTTCAAAACAACTGAAAGTATGCTGTTATGTTACAAGTAGAACCAACTTTATTTTAATTCAATGAAATATTATTCACTGCCGTCAAGCACAATCCAGATAATAATACATGTAATTTAATCAGCCTTCTGCACCCATTCTCCTTATCTTTGTATACACCATTTTTTTATGCTTGAAGATCCTGTATCAGTGGCTTTCATAGAACTTTTGAATTCTTTGCAAACGGCCTCATGCGTACACACATACAAACGCACACATGCATACACACAATCACTCACAGTTAAGTTTTAGTTTAGTATGGGGCTTTACGGCACTCGCAACTGCATAAAGTCATATGAGCGCGCGAAACACAAGTTAGTTTTATTCGCAGTTCACTGTACGGCTGGGTACGGGTCAGTAGATCTTAAAATGTTAAAATATTTAAATTTCGGTGTAAATATGTGAGGCAGCGTGGTGGAATCAGGCTCTCGTCAAAATAATCAAAGTGAAGAAACTTACATTTTTTCGCAGGTTTGTGAATTTTTATCAAATATTTGTTTTTTGGGCTCAACACCTTTCATGCCCATTAAAGAACTCATTTCTGAGTGGATTTTTCTGAAAAGCGTTGATTAAATGCACAAAAATTAAAAATTTTCAGTTACCACGGACAATCTTTGGGAACCATTTTCTCGCTAATTTTACCTCTGAAAACAAGTGCCCCGCACCTCCTTCTTTTGCAAATATCTCGACTTGTATTCAAAATAAATGGATATTTTTTCCATCCAAATAAAGACCAGTGAACAAGCTTTAAAATGATACCAATAACTCTACATGCCCAAAAATTGACGAGAGCCTGATTCCACCACACTGCCTCACATATATATTTTTTCAATCTAAAACAACTTTCCTAAATAACATAATTTTTTAAAATAATTCAATTTCGCTCTACAATTTCCCACAAAGGCCAATGGCCTTCATAAAATCCAGAATTCTGTTGGGATCAACGACGGAAAAAATGTCTTGCAAATTTTTGCATTTAAAGTATTTCCTTCAGGTCTCTCCGAAGTCTAGACAGTCGGTTAAAATGTGTCTAATGGTAAAATCTGTGTCGCATCCGACACAGAACGGTTTCTCTTCTCCCTGAAGGAGATATTTGGTGTTTGGGCTGTGTGTCCGATGCGTAATCGAGTAAAAATAACTTCGTCTCTTCTGGAGAGGCCTGAAGGGTTTCGCGGTCCCAGTTTGGGTTTAATGTTATGTAGTTTGTTATTAGTTGTTTTTTTTTCCAATGGTTAAAGTCAGTCTGTGGGAGAGTGTTCGTCGTTGATCCCGACAGAAGGGAAAAGGATTTCTTCGCTAGGTCATCTTCCAGTTCGTTTCCTCGGATGCCCACATGGCTTGGTATCCATGCGAACACAATATTTTTCTCTGTTTCAGTTAAGGTGTGTATTTTCTGTTGCAGTTGTAGCCTAACTATTTTTGGGTGTAGGAGTGTGTAGTTGTGAGTGAGGTGATGCAAGACAGAGAGTCAGAAAGGATAAGGAAAGATTTGTTTGGAGAACTTTCTACGGAATCCAGTGCCATGTCAATGGCGGTGGCCTCTGCAGAGAAAATGGACGCTTCAGGATGGAGTCTCCTCTGGTGTGTACTGTTTGAAGATAGGGCTGCGGCAGCCCTCATCATTGTCTTTTTGGCCGAGCCATATGTGAAGATAAGCTCCGAACCGGGGTATTTTTCAAAAAGTTTTTCGTATTCTGCTTTAAATGTTTTGGTGTTTGTGCTTGCTTTGTTGTGTGTGGTCAGCTGTAAGTCTACTTTTGCCTTGGTGAGGTACCACGGAGGGAGGTCGGGGAAAAGAAATTGTCGGATGTCTTGTTTGGAAAAGTGTATGTTTTTGAGGTCCTCAAGGATTCTGAGGCCGAAGGGTTTGATGAGTCTTTGGTTGTTTTGGAATTATTTGTTTATGGTTTCTGGGTTTGTTTTAAATACGCAGTTGTGCGCTGGATTTTCAGGTGTTGAGCTCTGTTTAATTGCGTATTGTAGTGAGAGTTGTGTGCGTCTGAGTGTGAGTGATGGTATGTTTGCCTCGGCCTGGAGGCTCTCCACCGGAGAAGTGCGGAAAGCCCCCAGTGCGAGGCGGAGTCCTTCGTTTTGCACTAGGTCTAGCTTTATTAGGATGTGTGGTTTTGCCGATCCGTAAACCTGACAGCCGTAGTCAAGCCTGGATCGGACAAGGGAGATGTAGAGATGTACAAGTGGAAAAGGTGCTCTGAGTCCCCGCCCCACTCCGAATGCGATAGAATTTTCAAAGGGTTTAACGCTTTCTGGCACCTCACACGAAGGTCTTTGATGTGTGGTATGAATGTGAGTTTTTTGTTGAATATAACGCCGAGGAAACGAGCCTGGTCCTGGACGGGAATCCTTTCCCCGTATAGTGTCAAATCCGACTGCAGTACACGTCTGTCTGTTCAGCAGAAGTGTACAGCAGCCGTCTTTGACGGGGAAAACTTGAAACCGTTATTGTTTGCCCACTTTCCGAGTGCAAGCTGCCTTTCCATAAATCTTAGATGAGAATTTTTTGAACGGCAACATATCAAAAAGTCGTCAACGTATAACGAGCCGTCTATGCTGTTTTGGAGGCTTTTTACGATGGAATCTATTTTGATTTCAAATAGGAAAGGAGAAAGGATGCTACCCTGGGGGACTCCTTCCTCCGGTTGGTGGGGGGTCTGAAAGGGAGGATCCGACATGAACCTGGAAGGAACGGTTCTTCCGCAAATTGCCAATGAAGGCAGGGAGGTGACCGCGTATGCCGAGTGCGTGCAGGTCTCTGAGAATGCCGTACTTCCAGGGTGTGGCGAAGGCTATTTCTAGGTCGAAAAAGATGGCGATCATGTGGCCTCCTTCGGCAAACGTCTCGCGTATAAAGGTCTCCAGACGGACCAGGTGATCCAGAGTGGATCGAGTTTTCCTGAATCCGCGCTGGAGACCGCTCAGCGAGCCCGCCGTCTCCAGAAACCACATGAGTCGCATGTGGATAATTTTTTCTATAAGTTTGCAGCTCATTAGTCCTATTGGTCTGTAATTGGGTGGGTGTGTGTGTTCTTTGTTTGGTTTGTATATAGGAATGACAGTGGCGAAACGCCAAGACTCCGGAAAGGAGTGCGACCGCCACATGTCGTTGTATATGTCTAGTAGGAGTGTAAGTGTTTCTGTGGGTAAGTGTCTAATGATCTGGTTGTGGATGTCATCCAGTCCCGGGGCTGTATTGCCCAGGTCCGAGATGCACGATGTTAGTTCGTCTAATGTGAAGTATGAGTTGTAGGTTTCAGTGTTGTTTGAGTGGAAGTTTAGGTGTTGTTGTTCTCTGTTAGTTTTGATGTTTTGAAAGGTGGTGTTGTAGTTTGCTTGGAATGCGTTTTTGGCGAGAGATGTAGCTATTGTGTTTGCGATGTCTACCTGTGTTTCAGCTGTGGTTCCATCCGGCCTCTGGACGTGCCGAAGGGTACACACACACGCACGCACACACACACACACACAAACACGCACACAGAGAGGGGGAAGGAGGGGGATCAACGGACAGTACAATCTTTGTAGGCCTGACTTGACTATTCTTCATTACGCTACATTCAGTTGAACTTTTTAGTCTTTTTTTTCTCTTGGTAAGGATGATGTGTCATCCTTTCAAGAGATCAAAGCAACTATAATAACTTATAACATGTCACCACTCAGTATTTTAAAAAAAATTGGTCTCTCAGTGATCAGTTTCGTAGGCAGAGACCACTGTAACTGAAAAAGTAACAGAATAAAAATACAGTCGTTGAAAATCATTGATTATATTAACAAATTCAAATTTTAATTTCAGTCACTCAGACCAAAAGCAAACAAAAAACAATGTAACAAAAAACTCATGATACTTACAATATCAGTCCTGCCTTTGGCCAATGTGTAGTTGGGAATAGCCGGGCAAGTGATTGTTGGTCTTCTGTTTGGTCCTAATAAAGACGTGAATTAAAAAAAAAAAATTTGTGTGCCAAGGATCGAACACAGCGCTGCCAGGGCCATCTTGAGAATATCTGAGGCTTCCTATTCCTAGGCAATGCAAAATCAAGACACCTATCCCACCCCACCCCCCACCCCACCCCTCTTTTCTTCTAAATCCCAGATATCCACTACGGGCCAGAACCTTAAGCTTTGAAAGGAAATAAGGGCGTTTGAATATCAAGGCCCCAAGATCTGGAATGCTTTGCCAAGCACTTTAACTTTAAGAGAGATTAAATCCTTTGATTCAGTCAAATGTCAGTTGAAGTCATTTCTGTTTTTAAATAAATAAGATGAATAGGCCTATTTGGAGAGATTTTGGTCAGAACACAACGTTTTATGTTACTGTTGTATTGTCTTGTAAAGCACTTAGAGCCTGTGTACTTTAATCAGGGCTGAGCGCTATGATAAATATCATTTTTTATTATTATTATTATTATTATTATTATTATTATTATTATTATTATTAAATTTTCCATGCCTAGGTATTTTCACCGTGCATACTATCACGATCCTCTTTATTCCCAGGGCCGCTCAGATACCAGGCATTATTAATTAATGTTCTTGAAGCTTGAAGTCAGTTGCTCGACTCTCTCTCTCTCTCTCTCTTTCTCTCTCTCTCTCTCTCTCTCTCTCTCTCTCTCTCTCTCTCTCTCTCTACCTACCTATTTATCTATCTCTCATCTAAGCACACCGGCCTTTCATTACTTTGAAGCTCCGAGGCTCCTAGGCCATTTAAATGAGAGAGCTATGATCACCTTTGTTTTTCATGAATTAGTCGTCTGGAGGATTTTGTTTTAGGTCAAAAATGTTCTTGAAAACATTTGTATGCTACAAATTGGCGCAGTTACTGTAAGAAGCAAATGGTTTGATCCTTCAGGCATTAGTTCAATTCCCATGTAGGGAAAGTATTCTATTAAGAATATTCAACAGAGCTTGGAATGACTTTCACAAGCAGAGTAGAAGCAGACTGCTCCTAAAATGTTGTAAAAGGATGCACGAAACATTTACAATTAATCCAAGACAGCATTATTTTTTACGATTTGATTTATCATTATTACACTAGAACAACAGCAAAAAAAGCTTACCAATTAGTAAAGGACCTGACATGCACTAAAGAAGGGCGCACCACCACCATTCAAGACAAACAAGGAAAAGGCCTGACAGAGGAACAAGATATTTTGAAAAGATGGACAGAATACTGCTCAAAATTGCACAACTACCAAGCCACGAGAAAACCTGTGGTACTAAACGTTCCCCCAGCAACCAACATCGATAACCACCCAATCTTTCGAAAAGAAGCTGAAGCAGCAGTTAAAGCACTGAAGAAGGGGAAATCAGCAGGAGTGGACAACATCCCAGGAGAATCAGTGCAGTCAAGGGGAAAGGACATGAGAAGCGCTCTGACTGTCATCTGTAAAAAGATCTGGCTGACAGGAAAATGGCCTACAAATGGACACAATCACTAGTGATTATACTCCCCAAGAAAGGTAACCCACAAGTATGTCAGAATTACCGCACCATCAGTCTAATAAGCCACCCCAGTAAGGTCATGTTGAAGATAGTGCTGAACAGACTGAAACCACGGGCAGAGAAGATCATTGCTGAAGAGCAGGCAGGCTTTAGAGAGCTGGGCGCAGCACAACAGAACAGATCTTCAACCTCAGGATACTGTGCGAGAGGTATCTCCTACACCGGCAAAACCTTTAATCAACGCCAACCTGATCAACGCCATACAACAACTATATGACAAGGCCTCCAGAGCAGTCTACCTCAACGGTAGCATTGGGGGTGTGTTCAGGACAATGGCCGGGGTGAGGCAAGGCTGTTTGTTCTCTCCCACTCTCTTCAACATCTTCCTAGAAAGAATCATAACTGACGCACTGGAAGACCACAATGAAACAATCAGTATTGGAGGCAGGAGGACAATCTCAAACTTGCGTTTCGCCGGAAAACATCGATTGATTAGCAGGAGAAGAACAGGAGCTCGCCACTTTAGTGGAACGGCTGGACACAACCTCAGCGGCCTACAGCATGGAGATCAGTGCCGAGAAAACCATACTAATGGCCAATAACGCCAATGGCATCAACGCGGACACCAAAGACAGTGGAAAGAAACTTGAGATCGTCAACAGCTTCAAATGCCTTTGATCAATCGTCTCAGACGAAGGCTCAAGACCAGAAATTATCCCCAGAATCCTGAAGCCTATATTTGGAAGGACAGAAACATCACGCTCAACTCGAAGATCAGACCGATGAGCTCACTCGTCATCTCAATATTTTGTATACGCCTGTGACTCGTGGACATTGACAGCAGAATTGGAGAAAAGGATTCAGACAACAGAGATGAGATGTTACCGCAGACTCCTTTGCATCTCATACAAAGACCACATTTCAAATGCAGAGGTACAGAACAGAATCACAAACACGGTGGGGTAGCCTGAAGATCAACTGACCACAGTGAAGGGACGAAAATTAAAATGGTATGGGCATGTCACAAGATCCACAGGACTTGCCAAAACAATCCTTCAAGGAACCGTACAAGGAAAGAGAAAAAGAGGAAGGCAGAGAAGGAGATGTAAGGACAACATCACATAGTGGACAGGGAAGATGATGGGTGACAATCTGAGGAAAGAAGAGGATAGAGAGAAATGGCGAGAGCTGGTTATCAGACGCAGTGGTGCCCCCACGGTTTCCCCAACCACGGGATAGAAGAAAAAGAAGACACTAGACAGCTGGAGTCCTACGCAATACAAAGAAAAAGGACGGGCGGTTTAGTGATATATATGTATTTTATAAAAGTGGTCTCCCAGTGAAGAGCTACTAGCTAGGAAGACTTTTGAAGTTATTGCCTCGAAATAGGCCTGACTAGCATCTGCGTTTGTCGCGGCCGCAACCCGCGAATTGCAGCCGCGAGTTTTGGCATTTTTTATCCGCGAATCGCGGCAGCGATTTTTGCATTTTTCACTTTAAAAAATTAGGAAAAAAAAAACACCGCCGGGGAATAAAAAATCGAAAAATAAAACCCGAAGTAAATAGAACGAACAACAAACCAAAAAATAAACAAACAAACAAACAAACAACAAACATCGAACCTCTTTACTATTGCTTTAAGAAAAAAAGGTTATTTTTACTTCTGACTCACTTCGTCTCTTTCTCATTGGTGACACCACGTTGATTCGTTATTTTCATGTGAAGAATATAAGTCCATGTATATTATATGCTAATTATATTGCCGTTACTCTTTTACTTCTTCCTCTTTCTTAATCTTGTGTTTTAAAATGCTGGTGGGTTAATTTTTTTCTCTTGTTACTGTTCTGATGGGTTTTCTATTTTTTTGGTTTTTATATTATATAGCGTAAAGTCATTTAATTTAATGTTTTTAAAAATATAGACTCTATAATATTATATTAGATGTGTTATGAATAACTAGCGTCATGTCTCCACGAAAAAAAAGACACTGGCAGGCCCTTTAAATTGTGTGTGATTCCATAATTTACATGTAATATCCTGTACTTTTTTTCTTGAATTACACACGTTTAGGGTAAAAACGGCCAATCTTCAGATAGGAGGACTCACGTCCTTGTTTGTTAATTTTTTGTAGTTGTTTATGTTATGCGCTGTTCTAATTTGGATCTTATTCTGTTGTAAAACCTTAATTTTTCACGTTTTTACACTCTGTGTGGCTACAAATGGTATTCTGGATGCCTAAAACAGAGCTAAACAATTCTGGTGCTTTAGATTAAGTTACTTCTATCAACAGTTGCTGCATAATCACGTCGTCACAGAGAGTCGAAAGCCTGAAAATTATTGGCAACTTATAGGGCAAATTTTGCCACTTTTTGTGGCAACTTTTGGACCGAAACAAACGGCAACAAACGCAGATGCAAGAATTAACACTGAAGAGCACAATTTTCAGCACACTACCACAGAGATCTCGTCAACTGACAAGGATTGAAAAAAAATTGAAACAGCTCAAAGTTGAAAGCAACTAAATTGAAAAAAATAACCAGTTAAAAAGCTTCTTCTAGAACGTCACAATGTAACCATGACAGCTAAGCCTTTTAAATTTATAAGTAAAAACATCACCAACAGGAAGTGCACCCCTCCCCTTAATGTCCCTCCCTTGAGAGTTTATGGATTTCCAACAATAAGTAGGTCATTAGGGATGGTAGCGATTAATAAGCAACAGCTTCGAAATTGGGTTTCTATATATATGAGGAGAGAGGACAACAGGCTCATATAAAATAAGAATCAACTAGATCTACTAAAGGAACAATTGTTACCAAACGATAACATCGATCTTCTTCAAATTATTTCTATTCTTTTGTCGGTGTTGCCCTTATTCATTTCCCCTTTATTTTTTCATGGGTAAGGCATGTCTGCCAATAATTTGACATGGCGTGTAAAGAAGAGACAAATGACCTAAACAATGACAACAACTAGATCATCATCTCCATCACCAACAAAAACAAAAATACCACCAACACCACCAACAACAACAGCAAACAATAACAAAAAAACAAAAAACAGCAACAGCAGCAGTAACAACAATAACAGCAACAACAAATGACACACAAACCTTTATTATAATTCACAGAGCATAAAAAATATCTACTTACTTCCAGAGCTGAAACAGACCCAGCGGCACCTTCTCCACCACCAGCCGCCAGAACAGCGCAGTTTGCAACGTTTCCACCAACCCAAAACCCAACCCCAGAACCAGCGCTTTCGTCTATGTAGCGCGGTGGATTGGGTGTTCCTTTTCCCTCTCGTCTCCTTCTCGTCCATGAGGTCTGATCAGTACGACACAAACAGGAGGATCAAAGATTGATTGACAAAGCAGCCTGAGGGCGCAGTTCATTTGAAGTTGGAAGGAAAGGAAGATGTTTGTTGTGCTTGAGTGGGTCTTCAAGAAAAAAAAGAAGAGCGCATGTGTGTGTGTGTATGTGTGTGCGTGTGTGTTGTGAGTGTGTGTGTGTGTGTGTGTGTGTGTGTGTGTGTGTGTGTGTGTGTGTGTGAGCGCACACAAGCGTGTCTGTTTGAACTCGGTCCACAAAGGCAGTCTGATACCGAGAAGATAAAGGCACCGATGTACGAAGTATTTTAGCTTGAAAATCGAAAATTATATTGATATCTATCTGATTTGAAGTAATAATTCTTTAAAAAGACGAGCATTTCAAAAGAAAAAGTCAATGAAAGGAATGTGAACTGGCAATTAAGCTTCATTAAATTGATTTTAGGACTACACTGCAGTACTAAATGCCTGGTCACTCAACGGTAGACATCACAGAATTATCATACTGAATAGTGTAGATCCACATTTAGAAAAATACACCCCAAAAAAGAGGCACAGATATTTAGAATTTTTAGAACCTAACATTTTCCATTATTTGCTGGGCTCACCTCTTTTATTTGCCAATTGCCTACACTCTTTCTCTCTCGCTTAATCAATTCAACGCAATTTTTACACAAAGTTGGTTTGGGCCTAAGTTTAAAAAAGAGAACAAATGGACAGTGGTATAAAACCGAAACTCTTTATCTTTCAGAGGTTATACAGTAGAGCGACACCTATAAAGAACACTCTTGTAAAGAACTGACGGAAATAAAGAACACATTTCTTTGCCCTGTTTTTTTTTCTCTTTGTGTCATTTATATTTTGACGCATCTAGCAAACAATGATCGAGCTGACGGAATTCTGTCTTATACGACTGAAGTAACAAACCAGGCCATTTCTATCAGTTGACCAAAGCGAGAGCTGCCCAACAGCACCGACACAGATGTTCCGTATTAAAAATTTAGTACGGAAATCAGCCTCAAAATACGGAAGTACGGAAACTAAGCTTGCGAAAGAGTACGGATTTTCGTCGAATCGTCGATAATAGGTTATCCGCCGTTCGCCGACCAACAGAATCAAAAGCTTCGATTTTTGTATTTTATACAAATTATATTTTTAAAGAAAACTTCGATGGAACCGGAAGTGAATTTCTTTCCTTACTGTTTACACCCGGGCAGTAGTCCTGGTCATTATTCGTTTATTAAAAAAAAAAAGCCAAACGAATAAATAGGCCTACAGAGTTTTTAAAAAAGTACGAATAACTGGATACATGAATCGCTTTCGGGGGAAAAAAGGGGGAGGGGGAAAAAAAAGGGAAAAAAGAAGCTGTCGATAGAGGTGAGAAATTGGATTTACATTGGATTAATGAAAGCCTATTGAAACTTACTAAAAAGTAGGGAAAAGTAGATCTACTGAAAATTGGCATTAGAGTTGGACTGCGTGAGAAAAAGTATGTGTGTGTGTGTGTGTGTGTGTGTGTGTGTGCTGACTGAAATAAAAAAACTACTGATATAAAGAACTATTTTCATTGCCCGGGCTTGTTCTTTATATCAGTGTTTCACTGTATAATAATATCCTGTTTTTGTAATACATTGTACTATAGTTCGTGGCAGTGACGTCACCCACGAAAAGGAACGGGAGATGCATGTGCCCACACTGAGACGTTTGCCCTTAATATTCAATAATATTGAGGGCAAGACATGCACAGTCCAACAGACGGGTGAGTACTTTTCGAGACAATGTGGAGACGTCTCGGTGGTCTCAGAAAGAAATTTACAAGTGGGGAACAGGGTGAGGGCTCGGATTGTTCATGTAAATGGGGGCGCGCCAGCCATGCCGATTAGCATGGGCAAGAAGGCCCCCATATCTGACAAGTGTGACGTCGCTGCCGAGAGCTCTTGTATTATAATAATAATATACAACCTCTTTGGAGGACACCCAAAAATACGCATTGGGGGGGGAGCATAATAAATAAATAAATACAGTCCAGTCCAGTCCATTTATAACAGCTTCTGTCATTACAGGAATTTGGATATAACAGTGATAAATAAAATCTCCGTTTTTCTTCTCTATAAGTGTAAGTAATATGAACCTGGCTATAACAGGGTTCAATTTGCGCAGACTCTGATATAACAGTAATCTTGCAGCGCATGAATTTGCTTTCGATCTGTTAAATTATTAAAATTTGTCTCAACCAAGACATTTGGCCTGTTTGTATGATCGCTTGGCTAAACACAAACTTTCAAACACATACCATCCAAGGTGTTGGAGTCACTGATCGATTCCGTCTCAGTTAAAGGATCTGCGGTAATCGAATATATATAATGTAGTAAGTTGAAGGTGCAAATATTGGTAGTTTCCCTTGGTAACGGTTATAACAGGACTCGCTTAAAACAGGGGAAAACTGCCAGTCCCGTCTGTCCTTTTATATCCGAGTTTCACTGTAAATAAGTACGGGTGGGTGTAATTTCAGCATAAGGAGTATTGTGATTATGTGACAACACTGTCCTATGATTTTTATATCGTTTTAAGATCTAGCAAAACTTCAATGAAAAATAGAGTCTCGTGCTATTACCCCATTTTTTAAGCTTCTTTAAAATTAAGAATTTGTCTTCCTCTTTTTGATTTCCCTTTGACTGTCTGTGTAAAAGGAGGGCTATTTCCCAGTTTTAAAATGTCTCTTCGTGTCGTCCCGGAGAACCCATGTCCATTATCTTTAAAAAAAAAACAATTATGGTAGAGCATTGCTAAGAATAAAACTCAAAATATAAAATATGCGATAGGGCAAAGCTGAAATCCCGATCTTGAGCAAATTACACTAGGCTGCTTCCTGTCTTTTTCTTATGGAGAAATCATATTTTTGTGGTACAGGTGGCCGGTGGTTAGGAAGCAAACCTTGCAATTCAAAGGTAATGGTTTCCATTCCAGGCACAGATAAGATCTCCTCCTCCCCCCCCCCTCTCTCCCCCCCCTCTCTCTCTGTCTCTTTCTGAATACTGTCTATCGGTGTGGACGATCAAATTGACCAAAACAAAGTTTAAAAATGATGTTAAAACACAAAAGTAAATTAATTTGGTTGTCTACAAAGATGCTACGGCTATTTAACTTTTCGAATCGAGCCGAACTACGCGGGTAGCCATTTTGTTTTTACCGGAAGTTCTCGCGCTACTCCTCTCTCCTCTCTCTTTCTCTCTCTCTCTCTCCACTGCCCACAGACAAAATTGTACGCTTTTAGTAGGCCTAGGCTACAGTTGTAATGGAACGTTTGTTCACGGCACAGAATTCTACAATTTTTCTGTTATCACAGTGTAGAATTCTGTGGTTTAGGGTGAACGCAAAATTTGTTGGCCTAGATCTAGGCTATAACGGTGAACGCGCACCGGGTGAGAATAGCCAAAAGACTCCCCTGCACCCAGGGTGAGAATAGAGGTGGCCATCGTTTGCGTATTTTATCCTCTATCCATTCGGATCCATCCAGATCAATAATAATTACTAGGACAGGGCAAACTATAGACGGGGAGTTGGTTTTTCTTCTGCTACTCACATAAAGGCTAAGAAGGAAGAGGAAGGCCACGCAAAAGGTGGATTGAGGGCGTCAAGGAAACCCTGGGAAATCATAATATCCCATTTGAAAGAGCTGTGGAGCTGGCCTACCACAGAAAATTGCATCTCCCCTCGACGTTTAACGGCAACAGAGGATGAAAAAGTTTTTAAAAGCCAAAAAAAAAAAAAAGTAAACAAGTAGATTTAGATCTAAGTCAAGGAGTTTAGAAGTAATGGAGCCTCCTCTCTCTCTCTTCGCGGCGCCACGAGCAGTACGCCGCGGTGGGGATCAAATATGGCCGCCGAGTGTGGGCTAAATCTCGAACTGTGGCGGTTCTTTTTATAGAATCTTATCGGGCTGGGCCACGTTGTGGGGGTGGGCGGGGTGGGGGAATGCACGCAAGTAAGAGGGGATGGAGCAGGGATGAAAGAGGAGGGGGCGGGCCTTGGGAAAGGACGAAGGAGAAAGGGAAAAATTAAATATAATAGAGAGAGAGAGAGAGAGAGAGAGAGAGAGAGAGAGAGAGAGAGAGAGAGATTGTGATCAACTGACGGGCTGACGGATAATGACAGGGAGAAAAAAAATAATAAATTCTGTGTGTGATACGGACTATTCAATTCTTTAAGAGTTTTATGTCTTAATCTGGGGATCAAGGGCTGGTGAAGGGCCTCATTTAAAAGATGAGAAACACCCAAGCGTCTCATATAGCTTCTCCCAGTCTAGCCAACCGCACCTACTCGTGGTGATCCCTGTCTGTACTGACGTGGCTCTGGCAAAAGGCGAATCGTTGGCGCCAACAAACCAACCCCCCTTTGCCAGGAGGGGTAAAATCAACAGGCTGGGAGTAGGTGAGACCTCACAAGGTGCGGAGGGCAGAACCCACCGGCGTGTGGTAGACGCTATGCCCCCCATCAACACACTCTCGCTCTCCCTTGAGTGAGTGTCCTCCTCTGCTACCTCACCTACTTCTTCTACGCACTCCCTGTGTTTGGCTTGTGCTCTACCTTTGGCCTTGAGCATCTCCATGGATTCTCCTGGTCCCTGCAAGGATGAACACACCACCGGGTGGGATAGGCCTCTGGGACATGGCATGCCTAATCATGGACGTCTACGTACCGACACAAAGGATCCAGGACGTGACAAGCCGCTCGTCTGTGTGATTTTGGCTCAACAATGCTGCCAGGGTCAGACCAGATTAAGTTGACCCCCCACAGCCCGCTAGGAGACAGCGGTGGCGGGGAATGGACCACAGTGGATCGTGCCTTGACCACATGTAAAACGGAAGCCAGTCCCTGCTCAGCGCGTTGCCCCACTTCTGTGAGAGACAAAACTTGTAGCTCAGAAATCTCAATGTCAGATGCACCGGACTGCTGGTAGATCACAGATCTGGGTGGGAAGAAAAGCCACAGGCTCCC